TGGTTTATTTTTTCAGGAAAATATAATGATGATAAGGCAACAAGTGGAGTCATTATTGGTATTGATATAAGTGGAGATCCAAAATATGACGCACGGAAGTTTTTGCCGCTTCTGCGGAAAGTTAAGAATGATTTCCCCGTCATTGCATTTCATCTAGCTGAGGTAATTTGTGCATAGTAAAACTGCCTTTAAATTGGCTGTCATAAGAATTGTCTGAATGTTTTTGAATAATGAGGTTTGTGCCCGTCATGATTAAGATAATTTGAAGTTTTCAAAGTTTCCCTGTTGAACTGTTGAACTTGTCAGCATAAATGAGAATGCATTCCAAAGATTGTCTTTAATTTCGCAGTTTCTTGGCCATTTTTTTTGTCGATATTTGCTACTTTTTTGAAAGATTTATTCTTTCCATAATGTTAATATCCTATTTTAAAGCATTTCCAATAATTCCTATTGAATTTGTCAGTAACTGAGATCAGGTTTATCTTTTTCTGCATTGGCATATATAAACTAATATGGTAATAAGTTATTAAATATTTCTATGTTATGGATTTCAATTTCAGATGAAAGAATACATGGATGAAGTCGAGGAGTGCGTGTTATTTGGGCCTACTCGAATAGGACATGGAACATTTTTGCATGAAATTTCAGACGAAGCTCAGCTTAATAGGATTTCGGAATATTTATACAAAACTCGTATCCCAATAGGTTTTTTCTTTGTTTCATTGTTAGGTTCGAAATTGGATAGTGGCGTGTGAAGTATGTGCCTGCCATAACTGAAAAGCGTACTCAAATACTGAGAAATCATTTACCACAATTCCGGATTGTTTTTACCGTATCAGTTTTGTTGTGTTTTTTGCTTTAGTTGCACGAAATGCTCTTATCACAATGTAGGAGTTGTAAAGTCAAATTGTACCATATTCCAGGAAGTTAGAAACGAGCTGAGATAACATTGATCATGTTTGATTGAGGTTAGGTTGTTCGAGTCATCAGTAGTCTGTTCCAAGGTAAAATATATGGAACAATTTGATGATTTTTGAATTAGAACTTATTTCGACAAGTTAGCATAAAAAACTTCCATTTTATTCTTTGTCAAAAGACAGCTTAGACATACTTGGCAAATATGTTTGTGTTTTGTCAAACAACAGCTCAGACATACTTGGTAAATGTACTGTTAGTAAGAATGGTAATTATAGAGATATGTCTCAGTTCAAACATGGTCTGTGGGACAGTTAAATCGGTGGATGCCAGTCATCTAATGCATTACTACAAAAAGAAGTATCCAGTATTAATTAGTGTTGGTTTTTATATGTGTTAATGCTTTTTCACAGTTAGAGGATTACCCAGCTGCAAGTAAATTCAAACCCTAATTTTTATCAGTATGTTAATTAGAGATTTATTCATTTACGTATGGAGTGTTGGTATTTTTTCTAGACACACAATGACTGAACTTTTGTGTAAAATGATATTGCTGATACTGCTGAGATTGTGATTCAGAAAGCTGGATAATTGTAAAGTTGAAAAAATTTAATATAACAAAATATTGTTTTATTAACCGATTTTCTTTCTACAATTAAATTTCCGTATTTGTAGACCGATGATCCAACGATGATGTGTTGCAACTTATCGGATGAGTATGTGCGTGTTGGACAGGCGCTGAATTTAGATCCGCAGGGAACTTTTAATCTGTCATATTCCACTACTGAATACATTTG